ATGTTGTCTTTGACTGTCGGGGGTTTTCTTTCTATTCGCTTTAAAGCAAAGAACGTATCTGTTTCATACACATTGAGTGGTGGATGAGAAAAGCCTTCAGGGGTTCCGCTGCAGCTTGCGGGTAACTCGACTAACATCTCTAAATGATCAGCCGATACGTCCCCGATTGCTATCAATGCAAACTGAGCAGAAATCCTCTGACGCAGTTACATTTTAAATCCCTGACCAGTGAAAATAGAACTAAGCAGCATTCAGGTATTTATTTCCTTCTCTTATAATAAACAATTCTGTAAGGACGTTTTCTTTGTCTCACCTTGACTCCGACTCTCCACGGAGATGCATACAGTTTGCAGCAGACTGTCTGTTAGCCGCTGTAGAGCCTGGTAGCTATCGATAGTGTAAAGGAAGTGGTGTGCAGGTAGGTTTACGATAGACTCGAGCTGCTGCTGGTTAACATCTCCCACCCCAATGGCAAATATGATAACTCCTTGATCGCGCAGGCGCTTGGCGGGCTCGACTACGTCATCCGTGGAGTCCCCGTCTGTGATGACTACAGCAAACTGAGGAACTCGCTGGCTCGCCCGGCTCCCTGCCTCCTGAGTGAAGTACACTGACTGGAGGAAGTCAATGGCCTTTCCTGTTTCTGTGCCTCCTGTTCGATATGGAAACTGATCGACTTCGGCCAGCAGAGAATCCTTGTCCATGTGATCTTTCAGCAGAAACTCCTGGTAGGTCTCGTCGCTATACTGAGCCAAGCCAATCCGAATTTTGTCAGGGCCGATGTCAAGGCCTAAAATGAAACTTCGGAGAAACTGCCTAATTTCCTCAAAGTTATCAACGCCAATGCTAGTTGAGCTGTCAACCAGGAAGACGATGTCTGCCACGGTGGCTCTGGCACATTCTGGAAAAGAAGAAGAAGAAAGTCAGGAACACGAGAGGAAAGTCAGTGAAACCTACATTTCTCGAGAAAGATAAAAACTTTGGGCGGGGCTTTCCCGGTTTTATATTTAATAAATGGTCAATGGACTGGTTCTCATATAACACTTTTCTACTCAGACTTATTTTACCTTGAGACGACAGTTTGCATGTTTATGGTGATGAACCTGTTAGTTCATGAGCCCATTGTTAGTCAGTGGGCTGGTTTCAAACCTGCAGTCAGCTGAGACCGATAAAGTCACCTGGATGAGTGACCAAACGTTCTGAAAACACCATGTCCAGATGAGCAGAATCAAGCTTTTGGGGTTTACCTGGAGACAGTTGCAGGAGTTGTCGTTTGGCTTCTTCTACAGTTGTGCATAGCGTCTGGATGATGTTCTGAGAAATTCCCTGCAGCGCTGCAAAATCTGACACACTGTAAACATGCTGATCGTCATTTGCAATCTCCCTCAGCTGGCTTGCATCTGCATCTTTGATACCAATTGCATACAAAACAATCCCTCTTCTCCTCAGGTTCTTAGCATGAGACTCTACATCGTCTTGGGATTTGCCATCAGTGATCACCACAGCAATTTGCGGCACTTTCTGCGCAGCTCGGCTTCCAGCTTTCCCCACAAAGTGTTCGTTCGACATGAATTCCAAGCCTTTACCGGTCATGGTGCCGCCCCCCCTGTAAGGCAGTTTGATGATGTTGTTGAGGATGTCCTCCTTGTTCTCAAAGGTGTTGAGCAGAAACTCTGTGAGTGGATTGTCACTGTACTGGACAAGGCCGATGCGGACGTGATCAGGGCTGACATCAAAGCTATCGACCAGCGTGAACAGAAACTGGCGGATCTGCTCGAAGTTCTCGGCGCCGATGCTCCACGAGCCATCGACCAGGAAGACGATGTCTGCCACGGCCTCTTCAGTACAGACTAAGAGGAAAGGTCTTTAAGTCACGGAGAGGAACTGCTGGACGCTAAAAGGAAATCTCTCAGTAGCTGAGGACGTTTGGCAGCGTGAGGTGTCAGCGTGGCTTATAGACAACAGAGGTGGGCTGTGCCATGTGACTGCTGGAAAAGAAAAATGGGCATGTTGCCGCCGGCTCGTGAAAAGCCTCTGGACTGGAGCAGGGATGCTTGCTGACAGCACTCACCTTCAGGGTGGAAAAGCGTGAGGAAAATGAGAAAAAGCGGCGTGTGGCTTACAGCTGGTGTTCGTTGCCTTCAGAAAGCTTTGCTTTCGTTAGCAGTGACCTGACTGCTAACGAAACCACGACCTTTAACCCTCGCATCTCATTCATGTGCCTGGTTGCAAAAACATTTCCACACTAACCCTAATAATTCAGGGCCGTCTCAGAAACACCTTGAACACGTTAAACGTGAGCGTGCTCCAGTTGTAATACAGCAAAAGCCCAATGACAGCACTACAGGTCAGGTTCACCCATTTTTAATAGATACTGTTGGTGAATAAGAGCGAGTCAGATCTATTTTTACAGAGGTCCTTTTTAAAGTACAGCTGCTGGACAACTTTTCAAACCCAGAAAACTGCTCCCTCATCAGCAGCTTGATTATGGTAAAACGGGCGTGTGGAGAAGAAGGGGACACACCCCGAGGAGCCAATCAGAGCCACGCACCGGGCCTTCCTTCTCTCTGCTGCTCACAGTGGATCATCTGCATCCACCTCAACCTATCCCACCGTCTTCCTCTTCTCCTGCCTGCAGCTGCATCTTCATTCTCCACCCTCCCTCCATCCTGCTCACTGAACACCTTCAGCTCAGCTCCACTGTCCCAAGTCTCACCTCCATCCTTGAACCTTCCCTTTCACTCTTGCTGCTATCCTTCAGTCACATTTGCCTCCACCCGCTCCACCCTGCCTGCACTCTGTCCTGTGGATGTTAAACCTTCACCATTTCTGCTCCTGCATGTTCACCTGCCCCCCTCTCATTCACACACATGTATTCTGTCTTCTAGTGGACTTCATCCCTTTTGCAGACGTCTCAGCACTGCTAACGAATCACATTTCCTGGCTACACGCTGCTAACTTCAATCTGCTTTTTTATTTCCAGTCATCATCCACAAGTTAATGCTACATTTTTCAGGGATAACTTATGTATTAGTTTAATTACTGACAGCGACCATGGACTGCACCTAAACGTCCAGCTCTACATAATGTTGGAGAAGTAATTTGTAGTTAAACAGATACTAAATGTTTCTGTGTGGCAGCGATGCTGGAACGACAGGATCAGTGGAGGAAGTTTTAATCTGGAGCCTGAGACCTAAGAAGGAAAATGTTTTATGCAACCAGACACCAGTCGAAGCTTTGTGTTTGTGCGTTTGTGAGCTTGTTAATTGTGCGTGTGCACGTGCTCAGCTGCATACACATTCCTGTGCAGGGTTAGTGCTCCGTGTGTGAACTTCAAAACTTACCTGTGTGTGTGTGTGTGTGTGTGTGTGTGTGTGTGTCAGTGTATGGATGGTATAAACAGCTTCCACTGATGTCATACTTTCACCAGGACGCAGGAAGTGGAGCCATAAGCTGCATAATCACACCCACCTGTTGTCTGAGCACCGCTGCTGCAGAAACACGCCGCCATGATGAGGCCGACCAGAGCAGCCCGCCTCCACTCCATGCTGGATCAGGTTTCTCTGTACCTGCGACAGAAACAGAGTCTGTTTCACATCTGGAAGCAGCTCCATCACAGCGGGAGCTGCTTCAAACATCTGCTCCACGAGGAACGTGAGGCTGAGTACATGTTTGCAGAAGCTTTTTGTGCCAAAACAGGATTTCGTTATATAACAGAGACAGAAACACAGCAGAGACACGAGGGGAGGAACAATATTTATGATAATTATGGGATATTTCAGCCCCAGTTAAGATACTTACAATCGTCCAGGTTAAATTATTGGACAATCATGTGTAACTTTAATTTTTTAAATAAAGGTTTGAAGGATTCGTCTAATAAATTGTTCATGAATGAACATGAATGGACGACATGTTGTTTATTAATGCACACAGTGTTCGTAATGCATGAAAATAAAAACTAGCATGCATCAGGAGAACGGTCCACAGTCTGCATCTGCAGCCGAGGATGAACCCTCCCTCCACACACACAGGAAATATGGATTTGCATGTCAAGATATGACAGGAATCATCTGATGTTTCCCAATCTTGTAACAGTAAAGAAGCCATCCAAAAATTCCTGCATCCAGTAAAGTAAATCACTTCCAGCCCCGCTTCTGAGCTGAGATGTGAGATGTAGCTCATAATGATGATGATGGAGCGTCCTGATTGGTCAGTTTTTAATCAAGCTGAAATGGTTTGCTGAGCGTGTCTCGCCCACTGATGTTGAAAGTTTCAGTATAATTATTGAAACGACACATTCCTGCTCGCAGCCATGAACTCATCTCCTCGGGGTGCTGTGAAACCAGAACCGCAGCACCGCAATAAAAGCTACAAATCATCGAGCGACAGCTGCGAGGTCACCAATCACGTCTGTGCGATGTCTGTAAACCAGTGTCAGACACGGGGAAACTATTAAAACTCGGCGTGTGTGAGCGCACTGACAGGAAATAAGATGTGACGCTCAGTTTGAATAACATCAGCGTTGCCGTGGAGTCGGGGACACGGCAGGGGAGGAGCCAGCAGGAATCAGGAAATTGTAATTTAGTCAAAAGCATTTTGTGAATCCAGATGGAGCAGCATCCGTAGCATCCAGGTGGGAAGCCTGTTAGCGGGTTAAACCTGGGTTCTTTCTAATGTCCAGCAGGGGGCGACTCCTGTATTGAAGTGTTTCTGGTCTGACAGCTCAGGGAACTATGAGGTCTCAGTCGCTGGTTTCAGGTCGGATGTAATTAAAACCATGAGGATAATTCTGGAAACGAATCCCGTTAGAGCAGAAAGGACGAGCGAGATGATTGAGGGGTACGCTCTAAGGTTAATGAAATGCTTCTGTGTCCTTCACTTACTCGTATCCACCGTCAGCACCACACCAACCAGTGGCTATGTCCATCTTTTATATACAGTGTGTGTAAAGCAGGCTAAACCCTCAGACATCCTCGGCTGGTTTCTGCTGTCGTTGGGCCAAACGCGATATCTACGCGTGCAGCTCCACAGCCTCAGCAGCCAGATGAGTCAGACTCTTTCTGGTGTTTGCAGCCAGAAGACTTCAGAGCATCATCTGGCTCTCCTCACGGCCTCACGGTGCCATTTCCTGACATCTGTAGGCAGCAGACAGTGTCTGGCCACATCACAGGCCGGATGAATGAGAGAATATTTTAAATGTTCTCTGGACGATGGTGCTTCAGATGCAGAGGAGCTCCCTGCCGGTTTTTACTGCCTCTCTACTTTCTTGTCTCACGCCTGCCTCCATAAAGTCTCTGCTCTCTGTTTACTTCCTCATTTCAAACTCTGTCCTCCCTGAACTCCTGCTCAGATCACCTCACAACAAAACAACATCAGTATTTAATCTGTCCGTGTTCAGTTACCATCATTAGAAGAGCAGGACAAACACTGAGGAGTGAACGATGAGAGGAGCGGACTGGTGTTGCAGGTTTGGGTCATGGTTAGCATGCATTTAGCCACATGCTAACCAAACACATTCAGAAATTTTACATGCAAATCAGACCATAAAGCACAGATGACAGAATCCACATGTCAACAGTTTAAGAAGCTGTCAACACGTTGTTTGCATTTGTGCTTTTTTCTGCAAAGCATTTCAAACAAACGTTTTCTATTTGCACAGAATTATAAAATCACCAGGACCAGTTTTATTAAGTGACTCACAGCACGAAGCACTGCTGTGAACAAAGTTCAAACTGAGGCACAGTACAAAACAAGTTGGAGCTGTCACTGAGAGAACATCAGGACAAAAACAAAAGAAATCAGATCCGGCGTTGAGACAAAGATCTGGTGATGCTCACACAGCAGGAGGTGGATGTATGACGATGAAAAATCGATGAGTCTAAAGAGCCGAGAAGAAGCGAGCGAACGGGTCAGCCCAGATGAGAATCTTAGTCTCAAAGGAGACGATCGCTAGAACCCTGCAGAGGAACGGACGCCAAAAACTTCAGCAGAAGAGACACCTTCAAGTCAGACTGCAGTGTGCCGAGGACGACCCGGAGAAAGGTTCATGTCCCACAGGGAAGCAGTGGCAGGATTACACTGTGATACTGCAACGAACGACCTCCAGAAGACCAAAGCGAGCGCTACTGTCCGGTCTGACTGTGGGCTGACCTGAAGACCGAGGTCCACGCCAGAAGGTCATCACATCTGGAGGAGCCCGAGAAGTTCTCCAAAGCAGAACGGGCTGCGTTCACCGAGGCGACGAGAGGACGGTCATCCACACACAGGTGAGCCGCTCTGATGCACTTTAATCAGAGTTGTGGGATTAATGAGCCTCGTTAGCTTCGGGTGTTTGCTGTTACCGCTGCACAGCCGTCCATCTTCTCCTGCCTGTCCCAGCAGGGACGGACCTGTTAGATCTCTATCAGAGGCGTGGGCGGCGTGCACGTCCTCGCATGATTCACGAACAGCAGTGAGAACGAAGAACGTTGTTTACTGACAGAGGACCATCGTCTTGGCGACACAATCGTGCACGACGTGCAGGTGAGCCGTGAAACCAAAATAACGTATCTGACTAACGTGCGTCCTGGATGGTGCTCGAGTGAGGATTTGGGCGTGGCTACTACAAACCAGAAGGTTTTACTGGCTTTTAGTTCCCGATGAATAAAGAGTTTAATATGTTAGTGATCTGTCCTGAGTCATGGTTTCCTCCCGTCTCCTGCTGCCACACACTTCCAGTGAATTTCACCAGCTGATTGCAGCTAATAAAGATTTCAAACTCCTCTCGATTCTTTTCCAAGGTGCTGCAGATAAATCTGCTTCGTCCTCCAGGCAGCAAAAGCAGCTCTGGATCTGTGTGGGCTTCATTTATTGGACGCTCACGCCTCCCTCTCTCCGTCTACATGTATGAACATGTGTTCGCCCACGAGCGTATTTCAGAGCTGTGTTTAATCACGGGCCAAATGCTCGAGGCCCTGTGAGTGGAGGCGGATTTGGGGGAGGGTTATGTGGAGGTCATCAGCGCTCCAGTGACAGGCTGATTGAAGCGAGGTCCAGCTCTAGTTACACGGACCTCCAACTGTATTTACGCGGAGTGTGAGCGGCTCTTTCCTGTTGGCTCTATGGACCGTAGATGTTTGATGTTAAAGAATGAAGGGCCTCATGCTTTCTAGTTCAAACTGGTGTCACACATGCAGGAGGTTCTCCTCGCTGATGAGGACATTATAGAGCTGACGCTCTGCAGGCGCGCTGAGGACAGTTTGTGCCCTCCGAGCAGCGTTTAGGAGAACGCTGCATTGTGGACAGCTGCATGAAGCTGGAGCGTTTCTAACATGAATCTGTGTCCGAACAACAATCCCGCATTCAAAGCCTCAGCTGTGGAGGTCAAAGAGGAGCTGAGACTGGACTCGTGTTGAGCGAGCCCCCCCTCTCGCCGCGGCTGTCTGGAGAGGCTGAAACTAAGAAATGCCGTCTGACCACAGAGGTCTCGTGCCAGCCCACATGAGCTGACGGCTCAGTTCAAACCCTGAATCCAGCAGCCAAGTCCCCCCTCTTCGATGGTCCGCCCCACATACGAGTGAACTGTTTACCTGCTTTAACCTGCTCACTGTCGCTGTGCGTCTGCAGGAAGCTCTGGAACCCACGCCCACCCCAACCTCTTCTTTCCAGCCTCCGTCTGACTCAATGTGCTGCTCGTTTCTCCAGGTGTTGCTGCTGAGCCCGTTCTCATCCTCTGGACGTCCAATGGAAACACCTCCAAGCATCAGCCTCGCATCCCTGTGGATGAGCGGGGTTACTGCTGTGATGGGGCAAAAGCTCAGCCTGGTACTTGAAAGTGAAATCCTGGACTGAGCAAATCGATCTGAGCAGTGGCTGAACTTTTGATTTATGCCAACCTCCAAAAGCCGACTCTGCGATGTCAGCGTGTCCCTGCGTGTCCTGAGGAGGAGGCGTCTGACAAAAACAGCTCTGTATTAATCACATCATAAATGTGCATCTCACACAGCGTTAATAGCTCCAAAGGTCAAAGGGTTTCATGATGTCACAGGAACGCTCATCAGCCATCTTTTAGCGATGAATGAAAAAGGAGAAAGGAGAGGCCCAACAGCTACATGCGTGCAGGTAAAGTGAGACTGGACGTCACGCTTGCTCTGGAGCTCAGACAGGAGCGTTTTCACGATGCAGAACATGAACGAGCTTCACTGAAACGGTCAGGAGGACCTGGAGCTGCTCCCGTGAACAAACACAGGCTAATGCACGCGGCCGATGCTAAACCTGCACTTCCATCCAGACAGAGAATAAACACCACACAGCTGAAACAGTCGCACACCTCTGCTGTGACCACACAGCGACTTCTTTAACGTCTCTGCTGGGGTGAAGAGAAAAGGAAGAGATGATGGACGATGAACGGCGAGCAGGGCGAGGCCTCAGAGCAGAAAGACAGAGCGTCTGTCCCTGTCAGTCTTTGTCTCATTTCACCAACCTGTTAAAGGTCATCACAGACCAGTTCATTCATGCTGACAGAGTTTGTGGGTGTGTCGTAGAAATGTGACAGGAGGGAAAACGTGACTGATCCTCTGAATTATTGGTG